CCATTTAGTTAGTTTTAAAAACTTTGTTAATGCCCCTGACAATGACATGTGGGTCCCACTGGACCCACCTGTCTGGTTTGACTGGTCAACCGACCAGTTGACCTGCTGGCATCACTCTGATGTCATGCTTGCGTCATCCCACACTATTCTGGATAATGTTAGATTTAAATAACTAATTAAAATCAAAAATGATTTAATTTTTTAGAAAATCATATCTTTTAATCCGTAACTCGGATGAAAATACTTTCTACATGAAAGTTGCTCAGAACGACGAGACGAACCCGGATACGCAACCTGTTCGTCCACCACGCATCCCTAGCATACCGAACACGCAACTTTCCCCCTCCGGTTCATCTGTCCGAAAATGCGAAACACCGGGAATACTTTCCCGGATGTTTTCCCCCTTCACCGGTACCACCTCGTATCGCGTTAGGGCACACCTAGCATCACGCTTTGTCATGTCATGCATCGTCATGCATTTGTTTGCATTATATTTATTGTTTCTTCCCCCTCTTCTCTCGCTAGACATCGAGACCGACGCCGCTGCTACCCAGTACGACTACGGTGTTGACGACCCCTCTCTCTTGCCAGAGCAACCAGGCAAGCCCCCCCTTGATCACCAGATATCGCCTACTCTCCTCTATACTGCTTGCATTAGAGTAGTGTAGCATGTTACTGCTTTCCGTTAATCCTATCCTGATGCATAGCCTGACATTGTTGCTACAACTGTTGTTACCTTTACCTGCAATCCTAATGCTTAGTATAGGATGCTAGTTTATCATCAGTGGCCCTTCATTCTTTTCCGTCTGCCTTGCTATACTATCGGGCCATGATCACTCGGGAGGTGATCACGGGTATATACTATATACTTTATATATGATACTTGAGGTGACTAAAGACGGGTCGGCTCGTAGGAGTACCCGCGAGTGATCCACGGATTGGGTCCGAAAGGACGTTTGTCCCGACGGCCCTTTGAGTGGATCTTTGTGGTGAAGCGACATGGCAGGTTGAGACCACCTAGGAGAGAGGTGGGCCTGGCCCTGGTCGGCGTTCGCGGTTATTTCAAAATAACACATTTAACGAGATCTTGGTATTTGATCTGAGTCTGGCTACTGGCCTATACGCACTAACCATCTACGCGGGGACAGTTATGGGCACTCGATGTCGTTGTATCAGCCGAAGCCTTCGTGACGTCAGCAACTGACCGGCGCGCGCCGGATTGGACTGGAATGCCTGCTAGGCTAGGTCTGCTTCCGGCCGCCCACGCAACGTGCTGGTGTGCTAAGGGCGATGGGCCCAGACCCCTGGGCGCTTAGGTTTAGACCGGCGTGCTGACCTCTCTGTTGGTCTAGGTGGGGCTGCGACGTGTTGATCTTCCGAGGCCGGGCATGACCCAGGAAAGTGTGTCCGGCCAAATAGGATCGAGCGTGTTGGGTTATGTGGTGCACCCCTGCAGGGAAGTTAATCTATTCGAATAGCCGTGATCTTTGGTAACAGGACGACTTGGAGTTGTACCTTGACCTTATGACAACTAGAACCAGATACTTAATAAAACACACCCTTCCAAGTGCCAGATACAACCGGTGATCGCTCTCTCATAGGACGACGAGGGAAGGATGATCGGTTAGGATTATGCTATGCGATGTTACTTGGTGAACTTACCATCTACTCTCTTCTCCTGCTGCAAGATGGAGGTTACCAGAAGCGTAGTCTTCGAAAGGACTAGCTATCCCCCTCTTATTCCGGCATTCTGCAGTTCAGTCCACATATGATAGCCTTATTCCAGTTGATACCAATGCATGCATATGTAGTGTAGCTCTTTGCTTGCGAGTACTTTGGATGAGTACTCACGGTTGCTTTTCTTCCCCTTTTCCCCTTCCCTATATCTGATTGCTGCAACTAGACGTTGGAGCCCAGGAGCCCGACGCCATCGTCGACGACGACTACTACTACTCGGGAGGTGCCTACTACTACGTGCAGCCCGCTGACGACGACCAGGAGTAGTTTAGGAGGATCTCAGGCAGGAGGCCTGCACCTCTTTCGATCTGTATCCCAGTTTGTGCTAGCCTTCTTAAGGCAAACTTGTTTAACTTATGTCTGTACTCAAATATTGTTGCTTCCGCTGGCTCGTCTATGATCGAGCTCTTGTATTCGAGCCCTCGAGGCCTCTGGCTTGTAATATGATGCTTGTATGACTTATTTTATTTGTAGAGTTGTGTTGTGATATCTTCCCGTGAGTCCCTGATCTTGATCGTACACGTTTGCGTGTATGATTAGTGTACGATTGAATCGGGGGCGTCACATGATAGTACAAAGAACACCAGAAATATTAAATACATCCAGGTTTGTAGACCACCTCGTGACAACTACAAGCACTGGAACGAGCCAAAGGCGCGTTGCCGCCATCGCCCCTTCCTCTATGAAGCCGGACATATCTTGTTGTAGTGGACAGTACGGAAATCGCTGTGCTAAGGCCCCATAGAATCAACGCACCAGGACAGCAACCGCCGCTGATAAAGAGATGTGTAGAACAGAAGGAACCAACGTGTAGACACATGAACACAGACGAACGAAGATCAGATCCACATGGATCTGTTGAAGACAAATTCCAACCGGATCCCGCGAGATCCGCCGGCGACAAATCTCCACACGCCCTCCGGCGATGCTAGAAACAACATCGAGACGGGCATCTACAGTCGGTCATCCTTAAATCCTGCTCAAATGTCCGCAGACGCGTGCGGTCAGTGATCAAACAGACGAGAGAAGGAAAAAAGATGACCCAACCGGCCACCTCGTATTATTCTATATGTCTGAGCCTTCCTCGAACCCTCATATTAAAAAACAAATATAGGGAGATTATTCTATATGTCTGAGCCTTCCTCGAACCCTCATATTAAAAAACAAATATAGGGAGGATATGATCTAACAGACGAGAGAAGGAAAACAATGATCCAATTTGACCCCTCGTATTATTCAATACGTCTGGACTTTCCTCAAACTCTTATATTAAAAGAAAAATATAGAAAGGATATGAGGGCATCTAGGCTCGTCCGGTCAGCCTGTCATGTAGGACGCGATCCTATCTCAAGCATCTTTTCTCTTTTTTGTGATGAGAAGTGTGGCGGCATGAACAAACAAATAAGGACTTGATATGGACACGTCTTATCACTGACGAGTCGTCTCCGCGAACATTAGGGGGGCAGATGAACGGACAAATAGGTCCGGTCACTGACCAGTCGTGTCTGTCCACAAACGTTCAAGAGGCCAGATGAACGAACAAATAGGGGCTTAATAAGGACACGTCTGGTCGCGTCCGTAGACGTTCATGGGCCAGATTTACTGTAAGTCCGGCTGTAGATGCTCTAAAAAAGAAGAAGAAAAAAACTGGTGGTGGACTTGGTCCCCGTTAGTCGAAATGAAGCAGAGTAAAATGGACGTTCACCCTGCTCTTTGGCGGGCAGGGTGGATGGATTTCAAATTCCCACGGTGATCACGCACGCTACCGGTAGTACTTGCAATTTGTCCGGGAGTGTAGAATCCCACCGCGTATTGCACGTTTCCGGCACGCGAGCCGCTCCCACCGCGTATTGTGCGGGCTTGCTTGCTGGCCATGAGCCTACGCCACGTACCCTGATGCAGTGGCTCCATACAGAGCGGGTGCCTGGTGCGAAAATACGAAGGAGAATCTGGGTGTCACCGCATCCTGTATATAATTTTTTTAGTAATTCAAAAAAAGTTTAAAAAATTTCAAATCTTTTTTTATCAAACATGATCAAGTATTGTAGTAGTATAAAAAGATTCGTTGAAGAATGACTTTCGTTGCATCCTGGGTTGAAGGGTCGGCAAAAAACTCTATATACAAGTACTATACCCGCTATACTGTTGTCATAAACTTGTCTTTTTTGCCCCGAAGTCAATATGAATCATTTCTTATCTAATTTTTTTATACAAGTAGAATACTTAATCATGTTTGATTCCAAAAAAAATTTGAAAATTTTTAAACTTTTTTTGAACTACTATTTTTTTTGGCGCATATAGGATGCGCCGGAACCCGAGAGTCCCGTCCGTGCCTGGTGTCCCAATTCTCTTTGCAGATGTGCTGACGGCCCAAGAGGTAGCGACGAGAAGAGACACCAGTTAAAAAGGTACTGGCAAAGAGGTTCAACGCAACGTCAAGATGGCCGAGTTGGTCTAAGGCGCCAGTTTCAGGTACTGGTCCGAAAGGGCGTGGGTTCAAATCCCACTCTTGACACACATCTTTTTTCTTTTTCATTTTTTATTATTAATTTGCTACGTTGCCTTCCAGCTCGTTTTATGCTGAGTTTCAAAAGTTTGAGCACCACATTCGATTCCACAGACAGAATGTAACGTAACACACCGTCCTTCAGTTCACCACTGCCACGCTTCTTTCTTCTCCAAGAAGGTCTCAGCCGCTCACTCCGGCAGCAGCCCGGCGGCCTTGTACGACTCGACGCTGTCCCTGAGGCACTCCTCCACCGCCCTCAACTTCCACCCCAGCGCCTGCAGCCTCTTGGAGCTCATCATCCTTTCCTCTTCCCCTTCAACAAACCTGCACATAACCTCCTGGTTAGTGGTCACACAAAAGTGCAACTGCAAGCTGATCGCATGTGCAGTTATGTACTCCTGCGTTCTTACTTACTTCATGGGGCGTGTAAGGTCTGGATAGAAGCTCTTGACGATGTCGACCATTTCAGACAGCTTCTTTCGGTACGCGCCGCCGCAGATGTACCGCCCGGACGCCTCCGGGGTCTCGTACGCCAGGACGAGCGCGTCGGCGAGGTCCCGGACGTCCACCGCGTTCCTCGCCTTGTCCTCCACGGTGTCGCAGTCGCCTGCACATGCAACAAGGCAAGACACACGAGAAATGTTGATCCACAATTGCTCGTTGTCTAGTACGGAGTACACGATAAGGCACACCGGAAGAAAGACTTGCCTTTGAGCAGGTTGACGAGGACCAGGCTGCTGGTGTTGGCCACGCGCTACAGCAGCGGGCCGAGGACCAAGGGCGGGCACACGGTGACCACGTCCAGCCCGGTCTTCTCGGCGTAGGCCAGAGCCTCGCGCTCGGCCAGTGTCTTGGAGAGGGCGTACCACATCTGCCAAGATGGAAATCGACACAAGGTGAGTGACAACTGACACCTACTACATAGGTCGATAACTATAGGATTTTGATTTTGAAAACGGAAAAGAGAATGGATGCCACCCCCGTGGTTCTGCAGTGGTCCTCGTCTGACCACGCGTCCTCGTCCAGGACGGCGTCCCTGGGGAAGCCGGGGTTCATGGCCACCGCGGCTGCCGACGACACCACGACGACGCGGCCGACCTTGGCTTGGTGGCAGGCCTTGAGCACGTTCTGCGTGCCCCTCACCGCCGGAGCCAGGACCTCCACCTGAGCACATGAGAGGTCACCACGACAGAACAACAAATTCGATGATACGTAGATCAACACTCAGGTTCCTGATGAAAAATGGTACTGCTACGTTACCTCGGGGTTCTGGGGCTTGTCGGCGGGGACGGGGCTGGCGACGTGGAAGACGCCGCCGCAGCCGGTCACGGTGTACGCCACGCTCGCGTAGTCCAGCACGTCGGCCTTGAACAGCCGCAGCCGCTCGCCGGCGCCGTCCAGCGCCTTCAGGTGGCCGGTCCTGCGATCACCTGCGTGCACCAACGCGCTTGCACCGTCGGGTCGGTCCTTTGCACGGGACAACTCAAAAGAAAAGGTGGCGTCGACCTTTTCTTACCGAGGTCGCGAACGGTGCCATGCACCGTGTACTCGCCCGTGGACAGGAGCCGCTTCACGAGCCACGAGCCGACGAAGCCGCCGGCGCCGGTCACGCACACCGTCTTCGTCTTGCTCGCCTCGCCCTCCATGGGTTCCTTTCCTTTTCTCCTCGTGCTCTCGCCGCCTTGCGATCACCGCTCGCCGGCCGGCGCCTTCGCGTATCGATCTATAAATGCGCGCGTGTCCGGCGTCTGGCGGCGGCGACCGCTGTTTCTGCGGCCTGCGCGTGGCAGCTGCTTGGTCTGAAAGTAGGACAAGTGTGGCGCGGGAGTCCAACTCAGGCCGCAGAGCAAGACACGCCTTGCCGCTCGTGTGGCACGCAGGACCCTGCTGGATCTCTAAGCTTCATGATGTTTGTCTAGTGCAGAAACTGTATCACGGCAAAGATACTCCGAAACTGCTTCAAAGCCGACTCGCCATGCACGATGCATGAACGATTGACTATCTGATGGATGAAGATACTCCATCCGTTCCATAATATAGTAGTGTTTTTAACACTAGTGCACAGGTCTCGGCTCATCATTTTGTTTCCAGCAAAAAATTGCTA